GTCTCCAGCAAGCAAACAGTCCCCAGTAAACAGTGAACCTGCACTTTGCCCAACATACACACCCCCAGTCAAGGCTTGACTTGGAAGTGTAACCATACGTTCTTCAAAACAAGCCACCGTGTTGGTCAGTCAGTTAGCAATCAATCTAAAGTGCACCGTGAAATTTTATGATGTACTTAAAGAATATCCTTATCATTCTTTAATCCTTGGTATGATGGGAGAGGGGGAAGAAGGGGACCCATTCATCCAAATGCTTTTACCGATTGTTTCGTCATTCGACTAAAGAGTTACTCAAATCGTGGTTGACAATTCTAATTTGTTTTAATATATAAGACGACAAATGTTTTTGTCATTAAAAAGAACAGGTCTTCCTTGACAAAGCACAGTCATCTATTTAGTTATTTTCGTGTTAGACGCGGTTTTGTGGTTACATCTTCTTCGGGTAGAAGAGGAAGGTGATTGACATGACCAATCCATAATAGGTTGTCACTCAGTGATTGGATAGATATCTGAAAAGTAACCAAATGGGTGTGTGTGTGTGTGGGTATGTGCATTTCATCCCGGGGCCAATTGCTACTGCCCGGTGATAAATCTAGCTTCTTCTTTTTGCCACTTTGCCTCTCGGCCAAATGCCTCCCCAAAGATAGTAAAAACTAACACCGGCATCATCCATAAAACTCACCGTCCTGCTAGGAGAAGGAAACCCGTCCCAGATGGGTGAGTTATACACCTCCGGTCTCGTGCCTGATTCCACTTTTTTTTCCATTTTCTACTCCTCCCCTCTCTACCTACCCATGATACATTAGGCTACCCTACTCAAAGCGGGCAGGGTAGTCTAAGGGGCCTCTGCTAAAAAAGTACGACACATACCAAGCGGCACGCACTAATTCAAACAGATGGGCGGAAATAGCAGGCAATTGTGTGTGTTAGTTTTTTCGTCTATGTCGGCGTGGGTTGGCAGAAGCCCCTCTAAAAGATATCACAATGCATCATTTCAATTACATGTTTTGTGCTTCAAAAAAGGAGAGAAAATAATTTTCAGGTGCCATTCCCACATTGTTTATTTCATTCGTAAGGAGGAGGTGGTAGGTGTCTCCAGTAGATACTCAGCAGTTTCCAATCAACTGTTTCCTCACTATGCTCAGAAGTGGTGTCACACATATGTGGTGCTCCAACCTGCGGTTTTTTCTCCAAGCTTTGTGGTCATGGATGACAGACGGCGGAGCGTAAGGAATGGTCGGCGCCCATGGCACCAAAACAGTCGTTTTCGTACCAACCTAGCAACTCATGAAACTGAATGTGAGCTAAATCTTATGCCTTCTACCCTCTGCATGAGAGTACCATGTCTTCCTCTTCTGGACAATCCCCGATTAGGTCTCCCAGACACTTGCACACCAAAGGGACAGCGCCCAGACACGATGAATCACCACACCTATCTCTTTCACTGTTATCAAGACAAATTTAACAGGGATAAAAGTTTAGAACAGTTCTCCAGCAGGCAGTAAATGGGGTTTTGCGGTAAAAAGGACAAAATTCTCTTACATGTTTTCCTCCACAGGAAAACCAGTAACTGACTACTCTCATGAAAAACCCACTCCTTCGTACTTGGCACATCCCCTACGCGAGACACTTTTAGCGGGATCGAGGCTGTAGTCATGGCATGTCTGCTGTATTATTCACCGATTCTGTACTCTCTCTCAACCGTCTATGTGTGCGCGCTACTCCTCCTCGTGAAGGTCATGCGAGAGATCAAAAATTCCGACCATGTCACGAACAAGCTCTTTTTCCATCCCCGCATCCTCCTCCTCCTCTCGTGGGAAATGTTAGCTTTGAGTAGCTCAACAAAAAGGAATGAGGAGGTTAAAAAAATTCTCCACTCTCACTGCCTTTTGCCGACATGGCAGTCGTCCTCGTTGTCTTCTCTCTTGCCCTTTGTCCCTCCCATGTTTTTTTCTTACCGCTTACTCTCATGTTGTTGTTAGTGCTAGGTTTTTACACAGGCCTACAATTCATAATTAAAACCTCTCGCCTGTGCAATTTCTTTTGCCCTGTCTCTACGATATGAATTTCTACTCAATTCAATGTCACTTACCTACTTCTCAGTAATGATTGGTTCTCCTGACATCTTAAATTTCATTGGTTATCGTTGAGACCTTAGTCACTTTATTTGTTCTCTCCATTGGATCCTTAACTAGTTTTTCGTATTTCATTTTCTCGAAAGATGGGAGAAAGTGACTACCAACTTCTGCCAAGGGGATGTGACTCACATGGGCTGATCATGCCTCTGCTGGGATTGAAGAAACGGTGATTGCTGCTGACACTAGCAAATTAGAGTCTCATGGGATGAGACTGGGGCATCCCTTTACATAATCTGAACCTTATAATCATAATTCAGTGATGTGGCTGTAAATAGTGGGAGGAGAAGGCAGTGAATTCGTACCTTTATTGCCTTTTAGATTTATTGGTATGTAAATTTGATTGAAATTCATCTTTTAAAAAGTTTCAATTGCAGTCTTTCATATCTAGTCGAATCACCTATTCCTTTCACATCGTATGGGCTTTATGAAATGGAAATTTTGATTGCACAACTCTAGGACACTCCTATTTTGACCTTATCAAGTTGGCTGTCAGCGTCACACATATGTGACAAATGTTACTTAACAAGTTTACGAAGCCTATTTGTTAAATCAAATTATGCAACTCAAACAAAGCAAGAACGAAAAAAATAATGGAAAATCTAGGCCCTAGTGGTTCACTTGCCTCGGAGGCCTTTGTCCAAATCTTGTTGTACGATGTCACTTTTTAAGGAACAAAAGAGGAACAGCAAAATTCCTGTTTTTGTTTTGGCTGGAAGCAAAAAGTACTTGCACCTATATGCAGGGGTAAAATAGGGATAGAGTAAATAAATATGCTTAAAATTGGAGGGCGAGGGAGCGACGCCTCCCACTGTGGTACTTCCTCTCGCACACCGCTGTCGCGTGTGGGCATGACAGCTCCGTGACAACTTTGAAAGGGAAGAAGCGAGGTGATAACATCATCTTTGCTATTTATTCAAAAATACTTCGGATAGAGAGGAAATTTATTGCAAGTAATTAAGACAGATTCCATCAATTTGGAAGAAATTTTGGCCGGTGCTCCCATCGACTGAACGGAAAGGCATTCGCAGAAGCTCCACTTACCGGACAGGGCTTGAATCGCTTGCTTTCAAAGAGAATCGGAAAAATATCTTGATTTGTATTTTCTGAGTCTTTGAAGTAGTAGTATTACCCCATCAATAGTAGGTAGTGCCAGTGAACTGAGGGACGAAGTGTAACTGGTGGAAGGCATCGCGCGGACTTGGGGTACTACTTTAACAGAAATAAGTCTACCGAAGTTGATCGAACCGACCACCTGGTAGATGAGTTTCAACAAAACATACCAATTACGTGGATTCTGGGGCAAATTTAATTCTTACCTCTGTAATACGAATTTGCAATTGTAGTCGAATGTTGACGAATGTGTCCAAGGTCCGCGTTTGTGGTTCATATGAAAGAGCAACCTTCTAGTAAGAGGACATCTACCGCATGAAGGCATGGTGATGGTGGTGACACTTAACCACTCAACAGCTAGAAGTTCAGAGACAGCTGTATATCTGCATGTCTGCACGTCAGCAATGATGACCATTGCGGTGATTGGTAGTCTTCCAAGTGCACAGCCTCGCAGTCAGTTGGGAGTTGTGAATAGTCATCCAGAACATTCCAGCAGCCTGTACAACATCTGTGTTGATCCTACATTGATGCCCGGTTGACACAACATTGCACAGCCAATGACACTTCTCTCTCTCTGTGGGCTCACTGAACACCCTCATCCACGAATAGGAAAAGAAACACTTGGCAACAATGGAGGG